ACCTCCAACAAGTATATGAAGTTAAACTGATTCCCGTAACTCCAAAAAGTATATGAGTATAAACTGATTCTCCACGCTCCAACGTCTTAAAGAGCTTAAATTGTATAGACTCCAGTCAACGCACGAGTATAAACTGTGTTTACATCGCAACAAAAGGTCAACGCCGATCAACACGTCAACGATTTTGCCAAAATAAGGCTCAGAATAATTTTCAGATCAAAATTACCCCCTGGGAGTTCAACCGTAACTCAGATGCAAACTCCTGACGAAGATAATCAGTTCAACGTCGATTCGACGACGCGAGCTAGTTCAGATATCAACACTAATTTCAGTTCAAGATTTCGACAACGGTCAGACGATAAACGCAGCACCGGAAGTATTTCAAACTATTTTGACAAAATACTGAATAGGATGAAAGCTGAAGAAGTCAAGAATTGAAGGCAAGGCCTATCTGATCCAAAGTATTCAGACTCCTCGATAAAATACTGAGGAGGCTGAAAACTTTGGAGGGAGTATCTGTAAGCGTAAAAAATTACCTATATGATCCCGAATTTAGCTCAAGACAAAGAGGATACAATTAACGTAATCATCTGAGTCAAAGAAGATCATCCGATACCAAAAGAAAGCAACGGAACGCGCGAAACAACAAAATGAAGAAGTGACGAGATGCACGAAACGACGAAACGACAAAGCGAAAACAGCCCAAGTATCTCAAATTGGCGAGACACATAATGTGTCTCGACTTGAGTGCGAGACACACAATGTGTCTCGCACCCAGGGGCGAGACACACATTGTGTCTCGCCCACTCAGCCTCCCAACGACATGTTTTTTGATAAGTTTCTCGGGATTCGTGCATTCCAATGGCCTCTTAACTGCATTGGGGTTATCCTTAAACGCTGGAAAGTCGTTATTAACTAAAGATACGTTCAAATCATGGATTCCTATCCGCAAACACGGCGTTCGAAGCCTATAAATACCCCCCCTTCGTGCATTTGTGAAGGGGACTGACGGGTATTGACGAGATCTGAGCTTTGAGGTGAAGCCCTGACGAATTGAGAGAAGAGAGCCACGATTTACAGAGAGAAAGGCGAGATCTTGGCGAATTCCTGTGCATAAAGAGAAGATTTCGAGAGATCTGCAAGCCCTCACCCCTTCCCTCGAGATCAAACGTCGATTTGATCTTAAGAAGAGTAGTAATCTCACCTTGCTGAGGTTATTTACTTCTGTTCTTGTTTCTTTAACGAAACAAGAACCTAAGCCTTCTTCACGATCAATTTGGATATGTGATTCGGTGGTCCACGGACTAACGCATCCCCGACGCAGGCAAATATCACACACAAGCAGCAACCGATAAATGTTCTCTGCGTGTGTTTCTAGGAGATTATTTGTTTTATTTGTAATAAGTAGTCTTATAAAAAGGCTCACTTTTTGAATCTGTAATTCGATAAACGAGTTGTAATGGGTTCAACAATGAAACTGATTTCCGAAGCAAACATTTATTGTCATATTTACTATTATACCTACTTTTCATCTTTATTAAATTCTACATTCATGGAGGGATTCTTTTTGTCATAACAAGTTTTTTGAGTAATGTTTATAATATTTTAACATCGGACAACTTAGGGTATTTTGTTGCTATTTTTTACAATTTAGGGTATTCAAGTGTTAGTGAGAGTATTTGTTGCTATTTTTTAAAATTTAGGGTATTTATGGTGTAGACTATCACTTATAGTAACTATTATGAAACTCTCTTCAGATTTAATACTTTATTGTGAAGCCCTTTAATATTTATTTTTTATTAGAAAATATCATATTGTAAAAAAAACTGTTTAAATTCACCTATCTATCAAATCTGTCACCTTCTTCTTCCTTTTAACATACATTCTCTTTCTCCAAAAGGCAAGACATAGATCAGAAGCTAAAAGTTACACCAACAGAGGCTAAAGTCAGATGATTGTGAGAGATTATCTTCATTTTCTACTAACTTTCTTTAAGTTCTCTTTGTTAGTAGTCATAGCTACTTAGGTTTGATGTGAAGAGAAAGGAGAAAGAAGAGAAGCTTTATTGAGGGGTATTTTACAGATAAGGGTATAAATTAAATCAGTTTTAACAATTTTAGCAACAGTGAGAGAGTGTTGTAATGAAAGGGGGGGAAAAAAACACTGTTAGGAGGTTTTATAATGAACTGTCAAATCTGAATTGGGTTAATTATCTTATAAAGTATCCCCGTCTTCACATAAGAATAAAGATGCATGGCAGCGTGTGACACTTATAAAGTCCTCAATGAAATTATAAAAGCATGGAGATTTTATATCAGCTTATGTTCACAACATTTATTCTCAAAAAAGTTTATATTTACACCGTGTAAGTATGGAATAATAATGGCGTTCTTAATCCCTCCACCTCTAAACACAAAGCATAATGTCGTATTCATATAACACTTGCATTTTCGTAATGATCATGTGTGTAGGTTTCCAAACTAGTCACACAGCAATTTTATTCTCTTGGTCATGACTTAATTTATTATTGTACCAATGATTTTGCTTGTTCTTGAGACAAATAAATTCTAGTGGCAACCAGCATTTGCATGCTTAATTTGTTTACAAGACAAGTAGTTGGGTGGTTGAACGATAGAGACTCATTGCCACACCTTTACTCTCAGATGTCACTGAATAGAAAAGTACAGTTCTAATTACTTGTTTTAACTTTTGGCAGCTATTTGATTGAGTGTTTCTCCAGCAAATGGAGGAATGATATCTTTTATACTAATTTTATTTTTATAGTTTCTCAATCAAAATGCAGAGCTAACATTTTTTTAATTATAGCCTTTTCTGTATTTCATAAAAATAACTCTTAACTCAAACTTTTTGATATTCACACTGAAATTAGTAGTCCACTGGTCTTGGGTACATATCATTTGGACGCACAAAGACGCTTCTATCTATAATGTAAAAGGCAACATAATTTTTCTCTTGACCCTCCTCAGTTTTTCTTTGAGCCAAAGAATTCCCTTAACCAGTTCCATATTGCGAACTCCCACCTTAATTTCAAACTGGCTTCAAATCTTGCTTGAGCTTGGGCGGGTGTCTCCTCTTCCACAGCTTCTGATCCTGAAAATGAGAACCAACACATTTCAGCATTGAGCATCTTTTATTTTTTTAAACTAAATCTTAACACAAGTTGAATAACAGAGAAGCTAGTTCTCACTATATTTATGTGCTTGGGCATTCCGTTCTTCTTGCCGCTTCAGTTGCTTGTTGAAAGATTTGACGGCAGCGAAGACATCTCTCGGCCTCTCCCAGCCTCCTCCAAAAACGCCGTGAGCCTCTTTAGGCTGTGGGCGTGTTAGAAACTCGAGCAACGGGAGCTCTTCCGTCTCCACCCAATGGATGCAATTGGTAGGACACGATTCAATCGAAACCTGTCATGGAAGAATCATTGCAGTTTCTTGACCGATGGGGAAAAAAAGGAAAGACAATTCTTCAAATTAATTGGTTGATATTGTACGTCGATTTGCTTGTCAGTATCTCCAAATTGAATTCTGACTCGGGCACATCCAAGAGATTCATCCATAGCAAATGTGTTGCTTGCATGGTGCACGCATTCCCTGCATCCTGAAACCAAATGAAATGTAACAGATGTATTTTTGTTGCTATTTAAGGTGAGATTTTAATTCTAATTACCAACGCATTTGCTTTCATCTACAAAGAGAGCCTGGGGTCTTATTGGTCCGTTCCATGAGCTATAGGCCGAGCCAGAGAAATTGGATTCAAACCCTTCTCTCTTTTTGCCGCTAGAGATATCATATCTTTTTCTTAGGTCCTGCCTTATTAGTGCATGGTATGCTTCATTAAGCATTAATGTGTATTCATGACCCTGAACAAAATAAAATAAAATCAGAATTTTTTTTTGAATTCATGCTTAAATTGTAAAAATCAAAGATAGTTGAATTACCTTTTCGCCGACGATATCAGGATGATATTTCTTTTGAAGTTTCCTATAAGCCTCCTTGATCTCCTTGGGAGTAGAATCAACAGAGACACCAAGGAGCTGGTAGTAGTCTCTTGTCTCTACTTCTTTCTTTCCCTTTAGAGTGCAACATCTGAAGCTAGCAAAAGTATGTCAATTGTTATAATTCATCAAGAAGTATGAAATTTTGAAGGAAAAAGATAAGAGTTGTAGGTTGTTGAAGTGCTTACTTTGATCTGGATTTGATTGGATGATGAGTTTTGAGAGGTTTTTGTAGGAACAAGTGATGAGTAGTAAGAGAGGTTCTGCAATCAAGCATCTTTTTTTTTTCTTTTTTCCTTTTTTCCTTCGATTTTAGTACTGGATAAATTATACAAACCCAACGAAGATTTGTAGCTTTGTTTGTGGAAAGGTCAGGGAGATATTTACTTGCTTGGTTCAAAGCCCTCAAAAGTCACCATCACTTGATATTAACTAATATTATCCTACAACTTAAAAACGAAGGTTATTATCTTGTTAGGAAAAAAAAGTCAAAATAATAAGGTTGCATATTTGTAGGCATAAATATTTTTTGTGCCTCTTTCTTATGTCCTAAATTTTTTCCATAATAAACTTAATTTCTCAACCGAATTCTCTTTCATTATTGTCACTTATTCCAGTTTTCTTCGAAGAAGCTTACCTAGCTTATTCTCTTATGAAATCAAATACAAAGAAGAAAAATAAAAGCATATATAAGATTTTTTTTATATAAGATATCTTATGAAATCAAATACAAAGAAGAAAAATAAAAGCATATGTAAGATTTTTTTTTACAGGAAAATTTGTGAGGAAAAGGTCACATTCATATGCATTTAAGAATTCTTTTTCCCCTATTCTGTACATGCCTTTTATTCCAATCCATCTCAGATAAAATTTCAAGATGGACTTTCTTTTCTTTTAAAAAAAAATACTGATTTCAAGGTAAATTTTGGAGCATTTAGTGCAACTCAAAGTAACAATAAACTGCAAGTTTAGTACAAGAAACCTCAACTAATGGAAATCTCCACATCTTATTATCATTAATGTTTTCAATACATCCTCATCATAGTGGACAGGATAACAACCGTATAATTCACGGCATTAAGAATACATCTGCCGCCTTCTCTCTGAATCTTGCTTCTATATTATCAGGGGAAAATTATTGTAGTATCACATGTTGAATTAGGTCTAAAAGGAGTCTACTTATTCAGCTATTTATTTAGACTTTACTGCTGCATATGCAGCAAATCTGAGAGCAACAATGAACTACATCTGTGGTCTAGTTTGGACAACAAAAATCTTTCCAGCCTTGATCACCCCTTCAATATCTTGGGGAGAGCAATAAAGCTGCTCGATTTCATTTCCAACTTTTGCGATACTGCAGAGAATGGAGTTGCGGAAATTTGGATCTATTATTAGAGGGTCATTTGTGTAATCAAGAACCACTTTCTCTTCCTCATCCATGGGCACACTGTACCAAAAGGCAGTTGATTAGGAAAGACTTAAATTTCGAAGCACAGATACATACAAGCAATTCCGTGATATATGGGGAAAAAAGAGCAACTAAGATAAGATTCTTAGATAGGAAAAGGACCAACCTGTCATAGAGTCCAGCACCAGCATAACCTTCCAAATCTTCACCATTGGAATCAGATCTGAAGATGATTGACCGTCTAATGAAGAGGCCAATTGGTTTGCTTGGGTAGCCCAGTAACTGTGGAAGATAAACATCCAAATCAAAATATACGCAAAAATTAAAAGCTTTTGCATCAACATTTGATTTTTCTTGGTTCACACTTCCAGATTAAAGCTATTTTCAGATTGGGTGTCAGAAATAGAGAGTCAAGGAGATGGATGAGTGGTTACCCAATTAAGTGAAATGATAAGAAATGAGGAAAAACCATTTGAGACTTTTTGTGCAAAGGATGGTAAATAAGTGCATTTGTCTGGAGAAGTGTTAGAATCACCATCAATAAGGTGAAGAAGGATAGGAATACGTTCCGAAGGGTGATAGTGTCTAACTGATGAAACGAAAATGGCCCTTAAACAAGTTGAAGGGAATGATAGAATCCCTGTAGCCAATGCCAATTTAGTTCTTGAATAAAGGCTTTGCTATTGTGTCTCTGAACTATTACAAATGTTTCACAACTCTTTTGAGATTATTATTTTTTTTTACAAATTATTCAGCCTATAGTCAGTACTGCTAAATTATGTATCTGATAGTTGACTATTAATATATTTTTGGTTATTAATTTCTAATGCATATCTTACGCAAAAAAAACATATCATAGCATGATTTAGGCATATAATTGTTAGGCTAAGGAAAAATTTTGGTAATGATTTTGGAGATATAACTATAGCAAATCTATTGGAAATAAAACCATAAAGAGCACTTTCTATAGAGAATCATATAGGGAGATAGGAGCATCTTATACATGTGTTCCGCTACCAGTTTAAGTGGTGATTACACTAACCTTTGTACTGTTTGCCATAATTAGTTTTTTACTGTTTGCACTATTTTTACTGTGTGTGTTGATCTTGTGTATTGTTTGCACTGATTTAGGATTTGTAGTGGACACGTGTAGCCTCCTCCTTCCTCCCAACATGAAGAGTTCTGTCACTATGATTTTTCCCCAAACTTACCTTTGGAGAGTTGAGATCATTTTTCTGACAAATAAAACTTAGTGCTCGCCCTGGATATGCGCCAACTAGAGTTTCGCCAAGTCCTTTCACCACCTGGCAATGGGAACCATTAACATCTACACAGGTCAGAAATGGCTAAATCTTGTTTGGAAAAGTACCTCAGCATAAATCTGCGATGAGTCCCCAGTTGATGGGTTGGTAGTGTGGATGACGAAGGCATAGTCAGCACTTATGATTTCTTGAACAAGGACAGCCATGCAGAGAATTGGTAGTGTGGATGACGAAGGCATAGTCAGCACTTATGATTTCTTGAACAAGGACAGCCATGCAGAGATTGTCATGATCAAGCTTCACTTTCCGAGTCAGCACTTATGATTTCTTGAACAAGGACAGCCATGCAGAGATTGTCATGATCAAGCTTCACTTTCCGAGTACTGAAGTATGCTCTTTCGTTCCACTTGGAAGCCCATACCTAGGATCAGAGGAAAGCCACTTTGAGAATGACACTTTCATAAACCTTCAAGCAGTGAAGTGATTGAATTGAGATCAAGTAGAATTCCAGTGAGAACTCTCGACTTCTCATCCTGTAAGAGTTCATTACCTGACCTATCTTTGATGTGCACAATTTGATGATAGGTTTTAAAAAAATCCTTAAAATATTTTGATGGTATAGTTATGCACATTAATCTGCTGTATATTATGGAATGTACATGTTTAATTATGAACCCACATTTATTCGCATCAATCTGTTCTGTCAAAGCGTTTATATATGACTTGTAAGTTCAACAGTGGGACAATAATTAGTGCACAAGGGCTTAATGCTCACTCTCGATGTAAGGCTGTGATTAATGTCTCATTGCCTCTCCTCTAATTCTCTTGTGCTAGCTACACACGTCCGCTGCTCAGCTCCCATTTTTCTCTAGAACTGACCACACTCTTTAGTGCTAGCTACACAAATCCTATCACATGCCTTTAATGAATGACAGAAGACCTTGTGAAGATAACTGTGATTAACAGTGCCACAACAATAAATAAAACCTTCGTGATGCCTTTTGGTTTTCCACTTTAGAAGTAAAAAAAACATATATGACAATAAATATTTTACTCCAGGCAAGAAGCATTAACAATTGAAAAACCAAAGCTGCATATACAATGTTATTTTTCCTAGGAAATATTATTGCCAAATGGCTATATGATAGTTCCGGGAAAGACAAGAAATCCATATTTTCTCCTTTGTCAATGATAATGGTATGCTATTGAAGTCATGACTGATTATCATACTGAACACTATAATCTAACCTTTTTTATTGCCATCCATGCTTGTTCCCAACGTTGCTCACCTTCATCACCAGGCCAAGGAATTCCAGCACCCCTCATTTTCTCCTGTAGCTCTTGCACCTGAAATCATTTGATATTCTGATAACATTATATTTGGATCCCCCCAGAAACTATTAACGAATCAAATTGTTGAAACTGACAGCTACAGACATGTAACAAAATAATCAATTTTACTACTGGCAGCTACAGACATGTAACAAAATGAAGTCATGAAGAAACTTCACTTGATTCAAGGGATATGTTTGATTAACAAGCAAAAATATTAAAGAATGCTCACAATATAAAGTCTCTCCGTATGAAGTGTTCCGATCTTTTCTTTTTTAAACAAGAGAATAAATTAAGAAGGTACACTGGATAGTAAAACATAAAAGAGAATGTTAACAACATATTTTCTCTATATGGAAATATCCTGAAAACATATGGATAGTAAAACATAAAAGAGAATGTTAACAACATATTTTCTCTATATGGAAATATCCTGAAAACATATAGTGATTATCTCAGAAGGTATCAACCCAAAATTATGCTTTCAAAAGCTCTGGTCACTTAAAAAGTGCCACATAGTAGGATAGCCATACCAATTGAATTGGAGCAGCTAGCTGTAAAACAGTTCTCCGAATTTCACCTAAGGCATTAAACTCTCCTCCTCCTAACTTTTTCTTTAGCATCTCAAGCTCTCCAGCTACTGCCTGCAGTGTAAGAATAAAAAATGTGACATTAATAACATAAATGAGTCATTAAAAAGCACCAATGTTTTACCATAACTGTGACCTAGTTATAACTAAAGAGTACTGTTCTTGGTGAAATAATTGCTGAACTATCAGAAAATGTCATAAATGTTTTCGAATTAGATTGACAAGAAGTCAAGAACAGAATATGTAACGCCCCGCCCCGGAATCCCGGAGTCGGTACGCTATTAGATCTGATGGACTGGCCTCACAAACCACCACATATCTTTTCAGCACGTTTTGTCCTCACTCACGCACTCCCTGAAAAACTTCCCAGGGGGTCACCCATCCTAGAATTTCTCCAGGCCAAGCACGCTTAACTTTGGAGTTTCTAAGAGTTGGGTTCCCGAAAAAAAGATGCATCTTGGTGGTATGAGTATTCCAATCAAATCTATCAATACTAATCACATCACCCTCTCAAGGGTTGGGGTATTACAAACTCCCCCACTTAAACTCGCAACGTCCTCGTTGCGCCAAATCATATCATTCAAGATCGTACCATCCGTGTGAGATTCTAGAGGTGGCTCCTACGGCCTCAAGAGGTGGCTCCCATCCTCTCGACGTAGCACTTTGTGCCGCATAGAACTTAGCTCTCACAATTCCGGTTGGCTTTGCTCTGATACCATTTGTAACGCCCCGCCCCGGAATCCCGGAGTCGGTACGCTACTAGATCTGATGGACTGGCCTCACAAACCACCACATGTCTTTTCAGCACGTTTTGTCCTCACTCACGCGCTCCCTGGAAAACTTCCCAGGGGGTCACCCATCCTAGAATTTCTCCAGGCCAAGCACGCTTAACTTTGGAGTTTCTAAGAGTGGGGTTCCCGAAAAGAAGATGCATCTTGGTGGTATGAGTATTCCAATCAAATCTATCAATACTAATCACATCACCCTCTCAAGGGTTGGGGTATTACAGAATATCTGTTATCCCTTGGCCTACAATAGATTAGACTTCCAGCACAAATCAGGGACAAGATTACTGGCTGCATTCCTTCTTAGTTCCATGCCTGGGACAATAGAAACATACTGATATACAAGAACAAAGAAACATGCATCTGAGGATGACCTGATTTGTCTTATCTGATAAAACCTTCTCAAAAACACCAAATGGCAGTGCTACTGATGTCGGGATTCCAACCCAGGAAGGTACTTTTCCTTTCAGATAGGAGATATTACGTGACTTGGCCCCAACCTAGAAAAATCAATACATACGAACAGGTTAGAAAATTATCATGGAGTTCAACATGAGACACTGGGAACTGATCAAACACCAAAAGTTGAACAATTAGTAATAAGTTTCAGATCTTCTATAAAGCAGATACTTGAGAAGCATGATGCAGACAAACTTGAAAAGATCAGGTGACAGAAAAGAAGAGTTCCAACAGATGTGACTATATCATTGTACTGACCATTTTGTTTGTGAATTCCTCTGATGATATGGCATATTTGCCACTGAATTGCTTCCTAGCTAGAGTCAGGGAAGGTGAAGGTTGAACATCATCCAAATTTGCTGAACTTGCATTGGAAAGGTCACTCTCTTTTATCTCACTAGAAAATGCAGAAAGTTTATCAGCAAAACAAACAACCCGACTCACATATCCAATACTAAAGAAAGAAGGTAAAGATCGTAAGATTGAAAAGGTTGTATGAGATGGTCGCAATGTTTCAGTGAATACAGTCCTGGATTAAAGTACAATACAAAACCAGGAAAGAAAAAGGGGGCAAAAATAAACCTCAGCTATTTCAAGGATCATAATATCACACTGCTCAAATACAAGAAAAAAATTCACACACCTATATACAATATCTGCAGAAGTGGGTCTTAAGAGAAATAGCTTTCCTTCATTTCCTTGGAGCTCTGACATAATGTTTGGGTCAAAGCATGTGGCAAAGCATACCTACAAGGGAATATTAACTAACATGATCTCCAAAATGAAGTTCATTCGCCAATGCACCTAAGTGCAGTATGTCCTTCCTTCTCAAATTGCATGCAGAACAATCAGATACTTACCTTGCTATTTCTTGCTCTCACAGATACATGGGATAGAACATCTGGCATATCGGGTGTCAGAACAGCAACTGCTCCGTCAGGTATTTCCTCCTCTCCTTTGACACTTTTAGCCACTAAAATGGTTGGTCGCTCATAAGATTTATTCTGAACAGTAAGCAACTCATCTACAACAACGACATATCCAGCAACTTCGACAGGACTTATAACCTGCCAACTGTTAAATTTGGACAAAACCATTTACATAGTTGAATAAGAATTATCATCCAATAAGTTATCTATATTTAAATTTTCATCTGACTTCCATTTTGGTCATAATTAGTTTGAAGGTCTACTGTAGATAGTTATGTAAAAGGCTCTGGATTTTCACAAAAAGAAATACAAGTTTCTACTTTGCAAAGCTTATTAAGGTAATAACAGTAGAAGCTGAAACAATGAAAAGTAATTGGACCAAGCTAGAAATCAAAAGAAAACAAGGCCTTGCCACATTACATAAATCTGTTTAACCTTCTTAACTGCTTACTTTTATTACACCCCGAGATATTTTACAGGTTAAGGAAATAACGATAAAAAAAATATTCTTCTTGATTCAACCAACCTTCCTAGATTTGCCTCCTTACGCAAAACAGGGTCAAGTCGATTAAGGAGTGCTGATAAAGATGCAGCTGAGCCACCACGAATAATTTCTTCAGTAAATATATTCACCTGGACAGTAAATAAATGTGAAACAGAAATCAGGTTAAGGGGCATTATTCAAAGGTAGTAATTGTTTAGTATACATACTGCCCATTGATCAACTCCAAGCAACATTCCAAGGTATTCAGCTGAAGGTTGCAGCACTTGGTGGTATAGTTCTGCATTGCTTGATAAGGCTAAACGAGTTCTATCAAGAAATGATTTTGCATATAATGCCCACTGGTTATCTCGTTGGCTGCACATCTCCAAGGCATGATTCCATCCCTTCCAAAAACATCAAAAAGGGAAAAGTAAGTCTCTGCTGCATCACAATAATCACTTTTGCTAAAGCTTTAATCATGAAACTTGTTCAGATTATTTTGGAATTTGGCATGCTACAACTTACAAACTATAGTTTGCAATCTGAAATATCCAATAAAAAACTTCATGTTAAACACAATTTTAATAATTGTGAAGTAAATGGACAAAGAAAGAAGGTTACCACATATTTCTCCATGGTATGGTAACATATAGAAACCTCAAGAAAATGGAGGACAATTACTGAGATGAGAAGCTAACCAACAATTTACAAAGACATACCTTAATGCAGTATAATAGATCTTCATTATCATCAGTCGATAGAGCAAGATTTTCAAGAGCAAGACTGATGAAATATATAATTTTCTGAAACAAAAATCAAAAGCAAATTTTCTGTAAAACAAAAGCACAAGTAAATGAAAGAAACAAAAGTAACAAAATTACTATAGAACTAATAGTGAGATTATAATGGGGAATGAGTGAAGAACCTCTGGTTTAGCATTGTTCAGCTCTTCATATCCCCGCTCAATAGCGGTCCTCACTGTAGAATCAAGGGCAATATCCAAAAAAATAAGATCCTTCAGACGCTCATGGGAGTTGAGCAACAGAGGTCGAAGTTCAACCCGTGCCTCCAACAGACCCTGAAAGTTGTTAAAGCATAAAATTTAGGACAAACTTGCTAATATTTCCACTTAACTCTGCCTAAGTACTTCTCTTCCTCAATCTAGAAATAAAAAAAATTATTTACAAACCAGAACCATAAAAATTTTGGATCAAAATTATATAAGAACATACTTATCAGGTACCTAATAAATCGACAAGCTTAAGCTGATAGGTAACCAACACTACCATGATGCATGATCTATGCTAGCAACATACTATTCTGTCATGCGGACTTTCAGGCCATGTGGAAAAGTCTCAATTTAAAAATGTCTCTCCAGGAAAGGCCTAAATGAATATAATTTAAATGTCTTGCTGAAGTTCTCAATCATGTCCCTGGTACCACATCGATAACTACTTTATCCAAAAGTTTAAGCTTATGTGAAGCAAAAGTGTATATCAAGCAATCCGAAGAACAGCAAATGCAAGTTGAAATAATGCATGTGCGAAATTGAAATTGTGCACATTTTTAGTGCCCTCACCTCAAGCAGAGGCTCCACCATCTTGTCTTCAATATGTTCCAGAATAAATCTTAACAGATCCTGTCGAACAAATTGAAAAGAATAATAAATACTGTGAGGTACAATTACATATATTATTAAAATAAGTCCGAAAAATTACAGGATATCCAGATGGCAAGCCCCTTATAGGATTTATCTGAACCCCGACCATAAACCCTTCACCCTGAAAAAATATTGAAGCTCCATCAAGTATCATCGACAGATAGTATGTTTCAGAGTAGGTTAAGCATGAAAACTTACCTCTGCTTTATATCCCATGCAAGTTGCAATTGCAGACTCAAGATCAGCACCTGAGTGAACAGCCTGAAAAAATAACCAACAGGTATAGTTATCCAAGGAGGCCTAGAAAAGAACAGCCTTCTGGTCATGCCAATGACACTGACAATGAAAATCAATGAACTTTGGCGCAATGGCTATCCTATAGATTATTAGACTCTCATTGGCATGGGAAAAATCCAGTACAAATTGGGTACACTGTTGATGCTGAGTCTACAAAGTGATGCATTGATGTATTTACTTGGGGCAAGAATCCGAACTGTGTATCAAGTGTAACACCCTAATTTAGCAAAACATTTTGATGACGTTTGCAGTTCATAAAGTTACCAGAAAGAAAATTGATTATTTTGATGAAGAAGACCATAAGAAGCTTCAATTTCTTAAATCGTGAGTGGTTAATTTGAATATTTATGAAAGAAACATGTATCTATATCAGGAAAGGTTATCTAGCTAAGAACCTCGACAGGTGTGTTCGAAAAGATGGCAAACAGATTACACAGGTATTGTAGAAGAAATTTATAACTTTTTTTCATTAGTTGAAATTGCTTCACGCACAAACACGAGATATTATTTTACATTATATCTGTTGTATGTCAAGAAAGTCTTCAGAATGAAGGTTAATCAGACTAACCTTCAGAGTCCTCAAGTAGTTTCCCAAATCACGCAAAAGGCCATCCTTCTGGTCACTCCTAAAATGTGGTTCTGAGTGAATGGCTCGGTCATAGCTTAATAAGCGTTCCTTTGTTACACCATTTTTGTTCAAGGTGTCCCAGTAAACATTGACATCAAAGTCACTACTAACATAATCTATGAGTGCCTGGAAGAATAATTTTCTCCGGGGAGGATAATTTGGTCAGAGAGATTCTAACAATTTTAAACAGGTTGGAGCACTCAAGCGGAGACCATGCGTCGAATACCTGACAAATTACTACATCATCAGGACTGGTGTTATTGTGTAGCTTCTGGTGCCATTCCTCCATCATCCCACCCTTGCAATCATTGTTTCTCTGCAGAATGACAACATCATAATAAGACTCAAGTCATGTATCAAGAATTAATAAACAATTTAATTAATAAATAACCCTGTCATTCATTAGACTGAGAACAAGTATAAACAAAAAAAACTACCTGAATCACCAAGATCTCATCACGGATACGCTGTCCCACATCTCCTTCACCTCCACGGCCAACAGTGGACATAATCATCCTTATGATTTCCCGATTTTGGGGGTTATTTTTGTACATATCTTGAAGTAAATTTGTAAGTCTGTCCTGGGCTTTGCTAATCTCACTGTAGCAGAAGAGATGTTGTTTGAGATAGAAAAGAAAATAATGTTTATCTATCAAGAAATTCAGACTTGCAAAAGGAATATGATGGTCTTAGGTTAGCAGAGAAAAGAAATACTGTGACACAGGAATTGAAATATCACAACAGGATTTGTCGATAAAGCACAATCATAATATCATGAAGGAGGATACCGTGGCTTCACATTGTAGTTCTTGTTCCATACAAGTTGTCTTGTGGCCATGAATCTCATCCATACAAGGATTCCAGAAAGACCTAATTTCCCAGAAGCTCCGAATTGCTCCATCAAATCTGCTGCAATGTTAAATCTACACCAGAAGAAAGCAGAATATTGTCTTCAAAAGTATGAAAATAGTAATCTAAAGCAATTAGCTTTGTAAGTTTCAAAACAGATGCACAACATAATTATATGCAGATTAAAAGAGAATAGTTTAGGAATCAATAGCAATAAAGCATTTCCCAAAAGAAAGCTAGATTTCCACCATAATGATGTTATAAATTTCCTTTTGCACGTAACCATTGGGACTTCAAATAATATGGAAATCCCTAAATGCATATCTATAGAACTGTGTATCAAAAGTCTTGGAATGAGGATAACTTCAATTAGAAATGAAAGAAAACCTTTTTTTTCTAAAAAGACAGAAACTAGTAGAAAGTCTTAAATTAATTAATTTTAAAGAAGTCGGAACTAATCCTTTTACCTCCTTGCTTTATTTTCTGCAATAACGATGATTGGCCTGTCGTGTAATCTTCTATTTGTGAGATGAATAAAATTGAACTTTGAATATGTGAATGTATCAACTCATAAAATAACCACATTTTCCAAAAACTTAAACAGTTTGGATCCTGAGCCCTTTCCTACTGAGTTGAAAGTTGAAAGTTGAAACGCATGCAACGTCTCCTCTAGAAGATGCTATACATGGTGCAAAATAAAAATTTTTTTTGGGAGAGGAATAGGCCTTAACCCAAATTTTATTTTTTTAAAAAATATAGGCAAAGAAGTAAGGGACAACAGATTTGTTACAATGATGAAATACTTAACTATAGCAGTCATTTGCAGTTCTTCTGCAATGGTGGAGAGGAGAGTGAGGGATCCAACTAAAGGGGATGATTGGTATCCTGATACCATACTAAGAAACAATCATATCCAAACACTCAATTTCACAAGTGTGGTTAGCAACACATATCAAGGAGTCCTAAACAAACAGTGTGTCTCTTCTGAGTGATCAATATTTAAGGAACCATCAGATAGCATTATCTAGGAAAGAATACACCAATGGAAAAGTTTATTCTAGAGAGAATTATAAGTAGAATATAGTATGAGAGAAAGGAAGTGTACAAATTTCAGACCTGTGCATTAGAGATTTCTGGGCCTCACTCTCAAGATAAGCTATCTTGTCCAGCAAGGCTTTTGCAGTACCTTTTCCATCGCCAGCATCCTTCAGATAAAGAAAGAAAGTAAGTAAATATCAACAAATACTTTACATGCTATAGATATAGCATACACTGCATAATCAAAAAAGGAAAGGAAGAAACCTTGCTTATCTTTGTAGTTTCTTTGCGAATTTCCACATAGAAATCGGATCCACCATTTTTAATCCAGTTTTCATCAGAACGTAGGACAAACGGTATTCCATCATAGTTCCCCCCATCAATTTCGATTACAACAGCCTTCATATTACACATTAAAATATTAACTTGTTTTAATCAGATCGGATTTCTATGAAGTAAGAAGGTCAAAAATCTCAGATAAATTAGAGCCATAAGCTGAAAATTATCTACACTCAACAAAGCAGTAAAGGAATGATGGAAAAGTTGCAAACATAAACAAATGAAATTGAAAATAAAAGGAAGCAGAACCCTACCTGGTAGGCTATATCTTGCAAGGAAGCCTCTATAAAAGGGGTCTCACATGACTGGTCTAGTAAAATTGAATTTGGAGGTAAAGTGCTTGAAGGGGGTACCTGCAAATTCAGTAATTTCCTTGTAAATGCAAAGTCGGAATAATGCTAATAGTTCATCAACTTGAACTCTCACTTATATGCGGGATACTGAACATAAAAACGGGATTTATATTTTAAACCTCACCATCCACTCTCCAGGTGTCCTAGATAATGCCCAGTGAAGAATAAGAGGTCCTTTCAGATCTGTTGCCAGACAAACCTTCGTCTTACCAAGATGATTTGTGACAATTACCTTCAATAGAAAAATTGGAAATGCTGTTTACAGATTACTTTTCTAGACGCAATAAATACTATAAAGCAACATTTCACAGATAAAAGAGGTATCACCAGAAGTTCCTTTTCACCAAGCTTAAAAAGTTTCTTGTTCAGTACCAGGCCTCCATCCTGCTCCTCTAAAAACTTTGAGAACGCTTCCATTGCTGTTGGGGTTTTTGGCATGGATGGCATGTTCTCTTGTGGGCTTTCAAAAGTATATTTATTTAGAAGCTGCATAATGTCCCTTTTTTTCCGCTCAATTCTTTCAATGGTGAAGTACTTTTTAGTCTTCAACTGTGCTGAGACTTTGGTGCGTACGTCTCCTTTCATCATTTTTTTTCGTAACTCAGTGGGTGACACTCCTTTACCCAGCTCTTGCTCTAGTTCTTTTCTTGCTTCCTCAAACTCCATCTAGCCAATTGGACAACATCAAGGTTTATAATAAACCACAGAAACTTCTATTAGTGACTTAAGTAATAAGGCGGTGTTTAGCTGTTATGAATATTGAGCAAACCATCTGTTTCTCAGGAGAATAGTTTGGTTTTCCAGCTCTCTCCCAACGAACATATGCCTGTACTTGTACAAGATCATCAGGAACTTCACTTGTTACAGTTGCTGCGTTCCCGGTATCATCCTTCTTGGCATTGCTAGAAGCTCTTGTTAATTTCATTCTGAGTTCTTCTACAGAAGTGCCCCTACTGATTTCCTCTAGCAATTCGGTCCTTGCCGCTTCATACTCTTCCTAGGAAAATGTATAATCGTAAAAGATTAGTCATCAAAACTCATCATCATAAAGAAAAATCTCAGCCAAACAACTACTATTTCCATGGTCCAGAAAAAAGTAATCATAAGGGATATAAACTCCATAATAGCATGTCAGAGTTGGAGGTTAAGAAGAAAATGAAATGAAATTAAAAGGTTTGATATAGGTCTATCCTTAGAGGGACATAACTTCATGTCGGATAATCCAGAGTAGTTGTATCCATTAATGTAGTTATAAGACTAGAATAAATCTTGCACAATGAACAAATTCTTTATAAACCATCAAATTCACAGGTCAAGCTAAACGATACATTTTTAAAGGGAAAAGTACCGCTTCTTGATCTGGTGTATACGATTGTTTGCCCTTCCTTTCCCACCTAAGATATGCATTAATCTGCACAAGATCTTCAGGAAGCGAAACTCTTTTGTTCTCCACAGCTGACAGATTAGAGATTTGATGGCGCGATCCTGGCAACTTAACCTGGAAGTTTTCGCCATTATTCTTGAACCTGTCAAGGGAAAAGGGGGGAAGTGAAATTGTGACTTCGGTCTGTGTAAAATGGTAATAAAGGCAAAGGTCATAGTTTGATCACAACTCACCACCTATTTTGTACTTCATCAAATATAAGAAACTCAATGGCTTGTATTTCTGGATCATCGATTTCTATGTTCAGCAAGGAGTCTGGACCAGGCTACAGAAGAGGGAAGCACATGGTCATGATTCAGATGAAATATATTCATACTAGCCGAGTTGATTTGGTATGGTACAGCGAAAGTCGTTATATTGAAACATTATTATGGTTGCAGAAACTTACTTTTATGAAGGATGTTCTAAGAGCCTTGTTTTTATATACTTTTGTTCCATCTGGACGCCGGAAAGGAAGAGCCCAGTCTCTGAAGAAATAGGAAATCACAAAAGTCAAATATTGTTGCAAATATTGTCATCTTTAGGAAATTATCTTTGAGTCATCATTTATATTAAAGAGTACATTACGAAAAAGGAAGAACTGAACATGATCCCAGGACAGAATGAATAAAGACATTAACAGATCTGGAGGTGGCCTTACTTATTCTTCTCACGAATTCCACCCCAGTGAAGAACTAAGTCATCATGACTGTTGGTTATTTGAAAACTGATTTTCGTTGTAGAGCCCGGAGCAGGGGCTTGAACAGAAACCTGTTTGTTTGAAAAGATGACAAATCACTTTAGGAGAATTCCTATTCCAAATTGAAATAAACCTATTTCAAATTGAGCAGCTAGAGTATAAATTTATATAAGAACAAGTACCTGTAGTTCAGAATTTGCATCAAGATTGAACTTGTCTGTAACCTGATCCAGAGAGGAGAATGTTAAAATAGTGACATCTCATAAAGCACATTGAACAGCAACATGCATACCTTACTTTCTTACTTGTTTCTAATGTGTGCATTGGTATCCTCGGGTACTTTTAAATGAATGAAATAGTTAAATATGAAGATTTCACACATAACTATCAATCGAGCAAGATACTTGTATGCAGTAAACCTTACAATGCAATGAGGAAGTGACTGCCATCACATTTTTATTGACCAAACAATGGGGTAACCACAGCTAAATCCGAGAAAATTCGCGAGCGTGTATCTTATGACACTTTAGACGTACAAGATGAAGAAACCATTGGTCAAATTTCTTAAAGGATGTATGCCAGCATGTATATGATCAGAATCAATTATTCGAATAAATTGACATGTTGGGAAACCACAATGGTTTCAAGTAAGCAAACACTTTTTTCTTGTGAAACTCAAAATGTCAACTGATGTGATTCTATAGTTGCACTTAAGGATAAAAGAAAAATATTCTAAAAAAAAGCAGATACTTGTGCAAGGTCAAGCTTCTAGTCATGAAACATGCCCCAATGTCCGCTCTGTATGTGCATTATTGTTTTCATACAAGTACAGTTATATCAAAAGAAAGTACCTCAGCTGAAGGATCGGTCGCCAACACAGCGTGAGTAACCATATAACTAGCCCTGTGATTTCCCTTCAATGATCTTGCTCTTGTTGCGCTGAAGTTGCCTCCGATGAATCTGTTAGAAAGAATGGGCTTGCATTTCTTTTTCGCTGCCTTAGATCCTGAGGGAACTCTAGGCAACACACTTCCTGAAAACCCCGGATGTGTTCTACTTTGATTCTCTATAGTTGGTGGAGGGCATAGAGCCCGCTGGTGTAAGCTATAACCAAAGGTGCTGTTCATGATCCTCACTCATACACAAACACACAGACAGAGTTCCGCTAGTAAATCTGGAATTTGAGTAACAAACAGAATTTAGAATGAAGAATTATAAATGTATTAATTACAAATACGATGTTGCAATCAATTAGACCCTGGTTAAAGAATTTCTAACGAGTAACATCTTGTGCATTTTCGGGTAAATTTTTCATAAAATGAGGATATAATTCACAATGGTTTCAGATTTTTCTGGTACAACTTCAGAACCAAAAATCAAAATTACTGATCCCAAAAATTATATCATGGAACCATTATAAACGTTAGGATATGATGATGATTTTGGATTCAACTTCTATGACTATAAACCAACGTCTAGAACAAGAATTACAAGGGAGATAGTTCTTCAGTGACATAACGAAAACTGAAACTTTATATAGGTTTCTTTATGAGAATGATACTTGCTAAACTTGAAGGAGCCAGAGTAATTGCATTTCAATAGACTACTTAGTTATCAAAATTCCCACAAAGTCTCCATAAATTTGAAAGGAACAGTCACGTGGCTCAAATATTAACAGAATTTTGAGCAAAATAAAACAGGGAGGAAAAAAAACCTGAATCGATCCACAAAAATAATTTCGCTCAGTTAATTGCCCAACGCCCAATTCGCAATGCTAATCAACAAAACCCTAGGTTTGAGGAAATGAAATGAAATGCAAGGAATTGGTAAAAGATTTGCTAAACAAAATAGCAATTCAAATGTGTCAGCAGCTAAGGTAATTAAAAATGATGATCGAAGAATTTCTTTGGATCGACGAACAGTTCAGTTACCTTCCCTTCGATCTCTGGCGTGATATTTTCCCTCAATTTCTTTCGAAATTTCGAAAAAAGAAAATGAAGGAGATATTGTAGCGTATGAGAGAGTGAGCTGAGGCTCTCTTTTATTTTTATTTTTTCCCCAGGTTCGTAATAAAAATGTGTGACTGCATAAATTACGAAAATATGATTATAACAGTAATAAAGATCAATGCCACGTGGACCCCGCGAGATATTGGGGGCCTTGGAGACCGCTTGATTGGATGTTGCGGTGTTTGCTGTTTTATCGAAGTATTAAATTAGGCGTGGGATCGCTGAAGAAATGCACCGAATTCTATGAGACTTGGGGAATCCGGAGGCAGTTCACATGCGGAGAGCGATGTAAGCGCGGGTCCCGTGAACTTTCTCTGGGGTATTTTCTGAAATTCAGCATGTGGAGTCGCGCACCGTCAAGTGGGACCCCGTATTGGGACCTATCGAGGTATTAAAATTTTGGATTAGTTTCACTTAAGGGGCTGTTTGGTTCGTAAAAAAAAAGTCCCGAAACCCATTTCCTTCCCCTGACACCGCGTTCACCTCGAACATTTCATTTTTTTTGTTTCTTTGGGTGGCTTTGGTTCGTCGCGATTTTCTCCCAAAACGAGCGAAAAACCTCAGAAAGCCCTCTCATGGCGTCCTTTTGTCAGATCTGCAATATTTTCGGGAAATTTACTCTTTGGCTAGGGTTACCGCCAAGTCTCGTCAGTTCTTCCCTGTTTACGCGTCAGATCTACAAAAGCTGGGGCTTGCCATCAGATTTCTTTAGTTTTTTTGTCGGATTTAGTCGAATTTTCGTCGGATTTTTTGTCGGATTTGGGGAAATCACTGCATACAGTCACGGTCCCTTTTCTTTTCAACTATGAGTCTAAAATCTCTCCACTTCTTAGTTATTCCTATGTTTTATTAAGAATTATTGATAGTATTTCATTTTATTTTGACGTGTTCGCGTTAGATTCTGAGTACTTTAATCTTCCTAGGTTTAACTGTTTTGGGATCTTGTGTGATGGATCTAGAATTTTGATAGTCATATTAGTGATTTTTTTCATTTTTAGTTTTGCTATCAAAGATGAAATATTGGTAGATAGTGATTGAATTCTTAGAAAGAAATGAGGATGTTGAATTCATGAAGAATTTGGATCTGTAGTATTTTTGGGTCTCGATAACTTGTTTAGAATTCTACTTAGTTTGTCATTAATTATTATAAATTGCAATGCATTCAGGTTCTGTTAGAATTCTACTTAGTTTCTAACTGGATAATAATTTTTGCATCGTAGATGGATGGTGATGGAGATTGTACCGATGAACAAAGTGTTGTTAATATGGTTCAAGGTGTTGTACTGTCCGTTTTTAATATAATAAGTACGGTTATAAGGAGAATAAAAGTTAGACGTAAATCAATTCGTAGTGGTCCAAGTGAGGAAAAGAAAAGACAAGAGAAGGCTAGAATTGAACGCATAGAGCGTATTTATAATGATTTTAGTGATAGTTGCGTAAGTTATATTAGAATGCGGAGTGGTGCTTTTATTAAAGTAGTGAATATAATGAGGAACAATAGACTCCTAAAAGACTCAAGGAATGTATCAGTGGAAAAATAACTTATCTTGACACTGAACATTTTGGGTTATAAATCTAAAAATCACATTGTCACATCTCATTTTATAAGATCAGTAGAGACAATCAATAGATATTTCAACAAGGTATTACAAGTAATTATTTGTCTGCGTGGACGCTACCTGAAACAAGCCCCCAATAACATTTCCCAAGAGATCATTAACAATCCGTTATACTATCCTTATTTCAAGGTATATCTACATTTTACGCACATTTACATGTATAATCAATGAAAGTAAATGATAACTTAGTAATTTGATTCATGTATTATAGGATTGGCACATTTACATGTATAATCAATGAAAGTAAATGATAACTTAGTAATTTGATTCATGTATTATAGGATTGCATTGGTATGATAGATGGGACTCGAAAGTAAATGATAACTTAGTAATTTGATTCATGTATTATAGGATTGCATTGGTATGATAGATGGGACTCGTGTTGATACAATTCTTCTGATTAATCTTGTTGCACAATTTCGAGACTACAAAGGTGTTACACAGAACGTGCTTACAGCTTGCACCCCAAACAAACTGTTCACATATGTTTTAGCAGGTTGGGAGAAGTCTGCAAATGATTATAGGATTCTCCAGGATGCATTATCTAGACCACAACCACATGAATTGAAAGTCTATGATGGTAATTATATAAAACTTTTTAACTTAAACATTTTAAATTTAATATGCAAACATGTCTTCCTTAACAATTTTCTTAATAAATTTGTAGGCAAATACTATATGTGTGATGCTGAGTACCCCACCATGCCAGGTTTCATATCTTCATACCGTGGTGTTCTATATCATTTGAAAGAACATTCGGGTAAAACGCTTAAGAATAGAAGGGAATTATTCAATCTAAGACATTCTTCTTTAAGGTCTAAGATTGAATCTGCATTTGGCACATTAAAGAATCGTTTTAAGATTTTGTGTGCTAAGCCGCATTACTCATTTTCTACACAAGTAGATATTGTATTGGCATGCACGGTACTTTATAATTTCATTGCAACTGTTGATCCAAGTGATGAACTACTCAAGGAGTCCGAAATTAATGAAGATATTGATGGTGAGGTAATTAATGAGAATGATAATAATTTAGTTGATTTTACTCAGACTCAAACATAAAGAGAGCAAACTGAATCAAGAAATGAGTGGAAGATTCTTAGGAATGACATTGCTTGGGCGATATGAGTGGACTATTGTGATAAGTATAATCATGGTGTAACCACTGAGACTTAATTCTCATATTTGTTGTAATATTTATGCTCATGTATTACCTCTTTAACTCTATGTTTTGCTTTGTCCACTTATTAGGGTTTTGCTTCTCATTCATGTATTAATGTGGCACTTCTTCAGTTATTATATTTTGCTTTTCATTCATGTATTCATATTTTACTTCCAGTTAATTTGTTGTGCTTTATCTTTCATGTATTCAAGTTTTGCTTATTCTACAAATTTTATAATATCTAACTCTCACTAGTCCTATCCAGGCTCCCCTCACTGGCGCCCGGTCCTAACCAGGCCCGGTCAGGAACAGTTCCGATCGGACAACGAAACCGGGCCGGGCGGCCCGGACCCGGAGCCCGACCCGCTCGTAACGGTCACCTTTGGTGGGTGACCGTTGCAGGCAAAAATCCTGCCCGGGCCGGGCCAACCCAGCCCGGCCTGGTGAAAACGGTCACCAAGGGTAACCGTTTTCGCCAAATAAAGTGACCGTTTGGCCGGCCCGGGCCGGCCCGGTCAAAACGGTCATTTTTTGTGTTTTGATAATGATTATTTGGGTTTGATAAATGGGTCAAAGCATAAACTTCTAAACCCGCATACGGGTAGCGCGATTATTAGACGCACTTAACACTTTGCACATTGTCACTCTATATATTTTTGAATATATTATTTTATTTATTATTGTTAATGTTATTTTAATTTTTAAAATTTATAATATCAATAGACAAATGATTGTTAGAAGTAGACTGTAGGAAAATGGCTATTTTTTTACTATTGAAAAATGATTGTTTTTTTCAAAGGGTGTTTTAAAAATTTATGATTGTTGGAGACACTTTTCAAAATTTATGACTGTTGGAGACACTTTTCAAACCTATAAATAGTCTGTAATTTCAGACATCAAAACTCACTTCTTTCTCAAAATTTTCTCTCAAAATTTTCTCTTAAAATTTGCAATCCTACAAACTTGTTTTCACAGAAAATTGATGAAAATTTTCAGATTTGTTTTTTGAAAATTTTCAATCTTCTGTTGTATCTTGAGAAAAAATTTGCATTAACCTGAAGCAAACTTGAATTACCAAGTGTGGTAAATATTTCTTTAAGAAAAGTGTTTTCACGCCTTAGAAATACTGCCTCCTTTTTTATTTTTACTAACAATCTTAAAGAAATATTTCTGCTACAATGGAATTGGAGTCAATCAAGGTATGAATCAAGACATGGTCAAACTGGACCGATTCGACGAAAAGAATTTCTCTCACTAGCAAGACAAGATGATGTTCTTTCTTACAGCATTGAAGATTTCTTATATCCTCTGTTATGACTCATGTTTATGAGCCTACTCTCTAATCTAGTTTTGATGACTAATAAACAATTTATAACGATGTATT